TTATTTATTCATTCTAACTGCTAAATTGCAATTTAACACATCACAGTAAATACAATACAATCCAATTTGCATTTATATAGTGTCTTTCACATTGGAAGGACGTCTTAAAGCACTTGACAATGCTGTGTAGGAAACTGAGCTCGTGGTTGGAGCTGAGGGGTGAGAAAGATGAGCAAAAGCACAAAGATGTATGAAGCATGGTCAAACTAGCGTAAAAGCAAACATTAGGGATGAAAAAAATATATTCAACAAAAAAGTAGTTGAATATTGATATGGTACTATCCTATTGCCTTTGGTATATTTGATTTACTTGTTTCTAGGGATATAGTTAGCTGTACACGTTCAGTTTAGGTGTCAGAAATACGCATCTAGATTCTGACCTCAATTTATTTACCAATGTCAGGGCATAAAAAGGAAGAGAAGTAATTTTATTCCGTTCAATTTTTAATAACTTCTTAACATTTTCAAAACCATAGATTGTTGGTTGTGGAGTCCTGTAGCTCAGTGGTTAGAGCACTTGCCTTGCTAGCGAGAGACCTGGGTTCGATTCCCGGCAGGGTGAGACCTTGGGCAAGGTTCCGTACACCACACTCCTGATAATAAGCCCTCCCTTAAGAAAAAAACCAATAATAATTGGTCACTTCAATCCACACCTGTTTGTGGGACACTGCTGTGTGGAATTGGCTGCCGAGTTTCGCCCACAAATATACAATCAATTCACTTTGCAGTATATTCTGTGAAGCGCTTTGAGACATCTAGAAGACATGAAAAGAGCTATATCAAATGCAAGGATTAATATTATTTTATAAAAGAGCATCATTTATTAAATTTAGTGCAACACGTGATAGTGCAAAAACATTTTTCCAGTGTCATATTATGGAATTTCTTCATGTCAATCTTGATGATGTTGCAGGTTAGTTGATTGGACAGAGAAATGGCAATGAAATTTAATGCAGACAAATGTGAGGTTATACATTTTGCAAGGAAGAATAAAGACAACAAGGATACATTGGGTGGTAAAATGTTAAAAGGAGTAGAAGAGCAGAGGTACTTGTGAATGGGAGGGGTTAATGTATATGAATCCTTAAAAGGTGGGAAGGCAAGTGGACAGAGCTGTCAAAAAAGCTAATGGATTCTTAGGTTTTATATATAGGGGTATAGAATATAAAAGCAAAGAGGTAATGTTAAACTTATATAAATCATTAGTTAGACTGGTTAAAGTATCGTGTCCAGTATTGGTCACCATACTTTAGAAAAGGTGTCCAGGTGATAGAAGGGGTGCAGAGGAAAGGATGATACCAGGGTTGAGTGGTTTGCCCTATGAGTGGAGACTAGAGGAACAGAAACCTCTTCACTGGAACAAAGAAGATTGAGGAGTAACCTGATAGAGTTCGTTAAAATCATGAGGGGTTTGGATAGAGTCAGTAGGGAGAAAGTATTTCCACTGGCCAATGAGTCAGTAACTGAAGGCCATCAATTTAAGATAGTTAGTAAACAAGCAAATGGGGAGGTTAGAACATTTTTTTCCTGCCCAGAGTGGTTAGGATATGGAATGTCCTGCTGTTGCTAAACGACTAAGCCCTTATGCTTCTGCCACTCAAAGAGCTTCATAGCTTGTGATCCATGATCCATTAATGTTTCTTAACATATTCGCACTTGTGCAAATGACTCATATTCAGCGATGTCATCAAGCATGAAACCAAGGAGGAAAGGCACACAACAGTATCTAAATTGTAAATCACGCTGACATTTTTGAATGCCTGGGTTAAAAATTTTATGTTTTGAGAGTTGTATAATTTCTTTAGCTAATGAAAAAAATCCCTGCTGTATTTCTTTCCATTTTCTTATGTGATCTGCACTTGGAAAATTGATATAAAAATGTAAATTGCAGTTTTGCACCTAAAAACACAGCTTTGAAAAGTTTGAATTTCTGTTATTGCTTTGCATTGAATCACAGACATATAAAAATTGTACTGGTGTTGAAAAACACTTAGAAGCTCTTCATAGCAAACAGAATTGCCCAAGAGCCTGGCTTTTAATCTACTGTTGGAGAACACTCACAGCCTAGTCAGGTGCAACATGTCTCTGATGAGAATCACTTACAGTGTTGATGGGGTCAGATAATGCACTTTACCATACTTCAAAGGCTGCTTTGATACTAAGCGAACAACCCTGAGCAACAATGGCTTTAATATACTACCATTCATATATGTTCAATATTTCATCAGAGTCTGTAATGTACACCGTGTGAGATTCCACTATCGCTGAACACAATTAAACCACATTAAACGTGGCAGTGGCACACATTTTCATTGAGATTTATTAGGCTAAGAATGAATTTATTTAAATTTACTTACAGCTAAACCACCATTAAAAAGTAAATGAGATGCTGCTGTCTTCAGAGATACTAAGCTCCATCCAAAGAGTTAGTTTTCCCTGTGATTCTGGAGACACTGAGATTTCACTGTTTTATTTTCTCTGATAGCCACACAAAAGTTACACAATTTGAGGAATTTTTCAGCCATAACTGGAAAATTCAGGAATTAGGTGTGCAATCTATAACTTTAGAAAGTACTGTACAGCTGTAGATTAAAAATGATACTTGCATTTATATAGCATCTTTTACAGGAGGACACTTCTCAATGCTTCACAGGATTTTACTGTAAAGTGTAACGACTGTATTTTGCAAACCGATTTGGCAGTCGTTTGCACACAATATCCCACAAACAACCATGAAATTAATAATAATAATAATCCTTGCATTTGATATAGGGCCTTAGTACGTCTTCGAGATGTCTCAAAGCGCTTCACAGAATATCCTGTAAAGTGAATTGACTGTATAATTTGTGGGACTCTAAATTACCTATTTTACCTGAAAGATTGTTGGTCAGGACACCAGGAGAAACTCCCTTTCCTTTGAATAATGCCAGGGAATCTTTAAAGTCAATCTAAACAGGTAGACGAGACCTCGGTTTAACGTCATTCCGTTTTGCCTACAAACATTGTGTGGCAGCATGCCTGCACAAATTAAGTGTAGAGAAGATTCCATGTCTATGAGTGTGACATGTCTGTGATGAGTCCAATTTGTCACAACATAAATATGAAATCTTACACAAGTCCGGTCAACTGTAATATCCTGGATCTCAGCCAATATTTTTCTGTCAAATTTTCATTTTGTTTCTTCTTCTGTATTCACAGAGAAGTACATAGGATCTTTTAATGTGTTCTGATAATCCTTATAATAATACTCCTTGCATTTGATGTTGCCATTTAAACTTCTCAAACTACTTCACAGGATTTACTGCAAAGTGTAGTGACTGTTTTTTGCAGGCCTTGGAGCTGAGCTGACTCCGAGATGATATGCTTTGCAACAGAATGTCGGAATTGAATCGAATCAACCCTCTGTGGCAGTCTCACTAATCAGGTCCTGGGTCTGGCAGGATTGGAATGGTCTATCCAGCTAAAACTGCACAGCTTGTCATTAAGAGCACCATCTGGCAAGCTTCCCTCTGCTTCTTCAGCTGGAATCACCCCATCAGCCTAACCTTTAGGGCTTTGGGTTTGCAGGATTAACAAGACAAGGTGGAAAGAGTCCATGTCCTCAGTGACCATCCTATCTCTCCCGTGAATGAGCCAGGCTGTCATCGGCTGTGCCCTGGAGTAACGGTGGATCTGTCTGACTCAGGAACTGAACTATTGAGACCACCGCCGAGGGTTGGCTTGATTCTTACAATCTGCTGTCACGACACCTTGGAGGCAGCTCAGCTTCAAGGGGAATCCACTTATCTTCCCCGAGGAGAACAGCCACCGGTGAGTCATTTGGCATCTGTGATCATGAAGATGTGTTGTATCAGTTATGATAGACATGAGAATGCATGACATTAGAGCTTCAGAAAATAACAAAACATAACTTTTGATTCTGAATTCTGAAAGTTGAAGCACTTGCGAGCTAACGAAAACACATTTGTCTCCTTTAGCAATCTCGGATCTATAGTTGCAACCCGTGCTAAGTGAGATTTTGCAAGAAAATTAAAACGATCTTAGTTATTGTTTCTCTCACCGAGACTGTCTGGAGGGACTTACTGATCCTCCTTCCAGAGGTACAGCTGAGACTATAAATTAAGACTTGTCACCTCCTGGCTGAGGATCACTCTGGTCTCCAGGGCTGTTTTATATTGCGCCCTTGACTTCCCAGGACACGGACTGACAGCTGAATCGCGTTGACAGCCCGTGTCCCTGTTCCCTCTGCATTCACCAGATCCGCGGAAACCCAATGTGATACTGATCAGAGACAGAGAGACAGAGAGAGAAGGGCGACTGACTTCGACTTCAGCAAATTACACCAGGAGCTGAACCCAGGAGGGAAGGAGCCTGTCTGGAAAGAAGAACCACTCACCCACACACACCCACCCACACACTCACACACACCCATACACACACACTCACACACACCCACCCACCCACCCACACACACACACACTCACACACACCCACACACCCACCCACACTCACACACTCACACCCACCCACCCACACACACACACCCACACACCCACCCACACACACACACTCACACACACCCACACACTCACACACACCCACACACTCACACCCACCCACACACTCACACACACCCACACACTCACACACACCCACACACATCCACACACACACACCCACACCTACCCACACACACACACTCACACACACCTACTCACCCACAGACTCACACACACACATACTCACACCCACCCCCCACTCACCCACCCACCCACACGCACACACACACTCACACACCCACCCACCCACCCACACACACCACCCCCCCCACACACACACCCACCCCCCCCCCCCCCCCCCCGCCTCTCCCGAGGCAAATCAAGAGCCCGAGATGAAGGAGAGCCCCTCGTGGCGGCCGGTGAGCGCGGTGCCGGGTCGGGGCTCGGAGGGCTCCGCGGTGTCCGCGGCGCTGTGCTCCGGCGCCGGGGGGTCGCGGGGTCTGCGGGCGGTGTATGTGCTGAACGAGACGGCGAAGCCGCAGAGCGCGGAGCGGGGGGCCCTGCGGTGCCTGGAGCGCGCCTGCCGGACCCTGGGCGCCGCCCTGCTCGCCCTGCCCTTCGGACAGCTGGACTTCGGGGAGACTCAGATCCTCGACTCCTTCTACAACGCGGGTCAGTGACACGAACCCCCCCCCACTCTCTCTCTCTCTCTCTCTTTTTTTTTGTGTAAAAAAAATTTGTGGGTTTGCCCCCCCCCCCCTCCCCCCTCGAACAAAATGTACAGTCACTTCACTTTGCGGTGTCGGGTATCCGGTGAAGCGCTTTGAGACGTCGGCCCCACCATGCGGTGAGCTGCCCGTGCGGAAGGCAAGGATCGCGTTGCCCGCGCGATGCGCAGTCACTACGCTTCACGGGGGTGTGCTCTGAAGTGCCTTGAGACGGCTCGAAGGCGTGATCAGGCGCTGGATCAAATGCAAGGATTATTATTATTATTATTGAACTCTTTTCAACGCCTCTTCTGAGGGTGTTGGACTGTTTCCTCCTTCTGGGTCAGTGGGACACTGCTGTGCGCAATTGGCTGCCGCGTTCGCCCACAAATATACGGTCAATTCACTTTACAGTATATTCTGTGAAGCGCTTTGAGACATCTCGAAGACGTGAAAAGCGCTATATCAAATGCAAGGATTATTATTATTATTAAGTATCAATTGAGCCCGGCTCAGTTGGTTAGCTCTCTTGCAAAGCTTTGAGTCGGAAGATAGTGTATATAGGTTGACCCTCCAATGCAGGGCTGGAGGTGCGGATGAGACCTTAAACCAAGTGGTTTAACGTGATACACACTGATCGTAAAGAGAGAGTTTCTTGCAGTATCCTGCAACAATCTCCCAAATAAAATTGGGCAGTCACTTCATGGCTGTTTCTGGGAAATTTGCTGCTACATTTTCCTACAGATGTACAGACACTCTGTTCACAGTAAATTCCTGTGAAGCACTTTGAGATGTCTTGATGACGTGTAAACATAGACAGCGAGTGTTAGCTGGTTGCTCAACTGGCAATGTTAACATCTCAAACATGAGGTTAATTTTCATAGGTATCCTCATTACATCCAACTCTGCCACTACTAATCCTGCTCCAGGAATATTGACCTTCTGAATGGCTGCCTCTCTAACATCAAGTCCTGGGTGAGAGATTACTTTTTCCCACTAAAGTGAACTTGTCTTGCTTGGTTCTCACCAATACCAAAGTGCCTCTGGCTTTGACACTTATCAACCAACCTCCCTCGTTGTTTCTCCTCCAGCATTCTCACCTGCACTAAACTCTGCATGTCCATCATCCCAGTCCTTGTCAGTCTCGACTGGTTCCCTATGTTCCCGCAATTCGATTTCGAGGTCCTTATCCTCGCGTTATTTATATTATCGTGCTCCTTTCCCCAATGTGTTAACATTATCTTGCATTGTCTTGAACCTAAATTATGACATTGATTAGCTGGCTTCCGATGGTAAAAAATGCCTGACTTCCAGATTATCAGATCATCCTGCACATCACTTCATGTCCACCATACAGGAAGTATCTTATGCAAAGTGTGCAACAAACAGAAAATGATGATGTGATGACCCAGAAGTGGGAAATTTTTTAGTGCTTTACTGATATAGTGGCCTCTGAGATATTGGATACAGAGAGCTATGTTGTAGTGATGATCCACTGAATGTGGTGATTTATAATCTAATTTCTTAATTAGAAGTATGTCACACTGACACAGAGGAGCTCCATTCTCATGGAATATATTTTCTAAGGGAAATTCCCGTGAGTCAGCATGAAATGTGTGTGTCTTGTCGATTATGAGGTGTTACCTTTTGAATTCTTCATTGAAAAATCCTGTTAGAAATAACTGAATATTAGATCCCGGTATTTATATTATATAGAATTTAGTCTGTGTGAAACTTGATGATTTCCAGCACGATGTGTGTGAGATGGGCTGATGGAGTCTTGTATGTTTGATGGTCCAAGAGAACAAGATTACATGCAGAAAGAATTCAGTGAAGCAGCATAGCTCCTGTTTATGACTGGTACAACATAGTTCACTTAAATAAAATCAGAAATAAAAACAGAATATGAGGGGAAAGGGAATCCAGCAGTATAGGAAAGCGAAATAGGAAGGAGGTTCATTTGGAATGTAAACACTGTCACGGATTATTTGGGCTGAATGGCCTGTTTCCATGCAGTCTCACACTGTGTAATGCTATGTAAAATGTCGGAAATCCGCAGCAGGTCAGACAGTCAGCAAAGATAAGTCGGTGTGTCATGTAAAGCTGTAACTGGAATTTTAACCTAGTTTTCTATCATTCCTGTCTTTATTTGGGATTTCCAGCAATTGCAATTTTTTAAATATTTATCCATGGAAAATCACGAGCCTGGGAGCAGTGTGATATTCATAATAAGTACAAAGGAGACACGTGAGTCGGCCAGGGTAGATCATGTGGGATGTGTGAGAATGATGAAAATAAAGGGCGTCGTTGAGCCTGACAGCTTAGATGTCTCTGTGGGTCGACTGGCAGCTGATGGGTTTTGAAGTGATTAATATGCACTGAGAGCTGTAATGGCGCCAGTTAAATTTGGCATCCAGTTAATCCTGTCAATTCAGGACTTGTTTTTCTTCTGGTTATGTTTGTTTGGGTTGTTCGTCAAATGCTGTTCTTAATATAAAAAGTGACTTATCAGAACTGGCAGTTCTGTCCTCTTGTCTTGTAATTTTTATGACAATTTGTGTGGAATTTGCTCTCCTGTTTTGCTGCTCAGGTTTCTTTAAAACGTTTTTTGGAGGGTGGCTCAGTTTTTCTTCAATGCTTCTACTTCACTCCCTTCCTCCATGCCCAAATTTAAGAATTTTCCAAACTTCTGCACAATCTTAACTTTGAAGACAATGGTCTTAAAGCTGAAACCATGAGCAATTTCAGCCTCAGGCCTGACCATGTGTAGCATTAATCAATTGTTGCTGTAACAATGCCATTGTTACCTTATATGTTAGCAGAGTACATGAAAAAATATATATTGTTCTTGATGCACAGTCACACACACATGCAGCATCATTTCAGCCTTGGTGTTCTTTGTACATGGGATTGAACATCAATCAGATCATGGTCTGAATACAAAAAGGTGTTTTAATTCAATCTTCCAAATATTTCTTTCTTTCTCTTCATTTAATATATCAACAGTCAGCCCATGCTTGCTAAATCAATAAAACATTATTACAGACAGCAACACAATTGGTTTGAAACCTGTGTGCTGCTGTTATCTATTATACACTCCTTTCAGCTTTGGTTGAATTCATAATGTCTCTCCCCTAGAGATGCTTCTTAATAAGATTCTGAACTTGAAATGTCACAGGTCATTCCTGTGATAAATTGAGTTAATTTGTGTGTCAGGAGCAATATAATCAATGATGTATTTTACAGGGTAGTATCATTTATAGTACTGATGAATAGTGCTTTAATATTATTTTTCTGTAAAGTGCAGTGTATTTGTAAGTGAACTTTGCACCCACTTTCCACATACCAATGTCCCACAACATACCAATGTCCCATGAGTGACCATATTTTTATCTGGGAGATTGTTGGCCAGGATACTTGACCTGGTGCAATGGGACCTTTGACATCCATCTGAAAAAGCATCACTTTCAGCAGATGGGACCTGTTAACCTCAGCACTGCATTAGAGTTTCAGTCCAGACTAGGAGGTCAAAGTCTCTCCATGAGATTTGAACACAAAATGTTCTGACTCAGAGACAAGAGTGCTATCAATTAGACCAGTTTTACATTGACAATACAGTAATAATAAATGAGTTTTATAACTCCATATAATTTAGAATTCTATTTAGATTTGCCATCTGCAAATCATTTGTGTCTCTCTTCTCTTCGCTGTGGTCTTCTGTTGCTACCCTATGTGAAGCGAGCTATATAAATGCAAGTTGTTGTTCTTATTATTGCTTCATGTTTTTTAAGGCCCTATTTCGATGATACACAACTCTTACTTTCTGTACCTCGTTCCATCATATAAGACCTTAAACATCAATCTTTTCTCAGTGAATCACCCTTCTTCGAAAGGTTATGCCTGCATTCAGCATGTTGAACTATAGGAAAGTTAACACCAGAGGAAAGTTGATACCTATTTCATATTTGTGAAATACAGAGTCAGATTTCAACCAGAGCTCTTGCCTGAGGTCAAAGTGACAAATGACATTCTATCCATTTGCGACCAGGGCTCCCTCTGCCTCCTCATCCTCCTTGACCTCTCTGCTGCTTTCGACACTGTCAATCACTCTATCCTCATCCACTGCCTCTCCTCTCACCTCAACCTCCATGACGCTGTCCTTGACTGGTTCAGATCGTACTTCTCACACCGCCTGCACTTCATCTCCTCAAATGGCTTCTCCTCTAGCCCCCGCACCGTCTCCTGCAGCGTTCCTCAGGGCTCTGTCCTTGGTCCCCTCCTCTTCAATATCTATATACTCCCTCTTGGTAACAATCATCTGCAGACAGGGGGTCAACTTCCACATGTATGCGGACGACACCCAACTCTCCCTCTGCCTCCACCCTTGACTCCAGGACCACTGCTTTCCTGACTGAATGTCTGTCGACATCAAGTCCTGGATGAGAGCGAACTTTCTTCAGTTGAATGTCATCAAGACCGAAGCTCTCCTGATTGGCTCCTGTCAGCACCTCCATACGCACCTCAGGCAATGACAGCATGACCATCCATGGTTGCACACTCCACCTTGCTAAGCCAGTCCAGAACTTTGGGGTTCTTGTTTCACTCTCAACTATCCTTTCTACCCCACATCTACACCATGACCCGCTCTACTTTCCCCCACCTCCGTAATGTCGCCCGGCTCCGACACTGTCTCAAATTGCAGGCCGCCGAAACCATCATACATGCCTGCATTACATCAAGGCTCAACTATGCAAGCTCATTACTTGTCAGCCTCCCTAACTCCTCCCTCCACAGGCTGCATATCATCCAGAACTCTGCAGCCGTGTCCTCTCCCACACTAAGCTCCGTGACCCGATCAACCCCATCCTTGCCCAACTCCATTGGCTTCCCATCACACAGAGGATACAGTTCAAGATCTTGGTCATCACCTTCAAAGCCCTCCATGATCTTGCTCCCCCCAACTCT